CTCAAACACTCAAACTCTTTAAACTCTAAAACTGTCAAACTCTCAAACACTAAACTCTTTAATACAGTCTTTCTAAACACAATTTTCGCTATGTCTCAAACACCACAATATATGATTTTCGCACATCTTAACGGTGAAGTTTTCGAATGTGAAATATCGGGTTACAATTTCAGAAACACTGATGTTACAAGATTTTTAATTGACAGAAGGTCTAATTTTTTACACCTTAAGTCTAGAATAGAAAAAATACTGCAATATGGTCCAATTGGGCAAATAATATACAAAAATCCAGTGTTTTTTGGCGGCCATGTTGAATGCAAGTTTTTCCCGTTAAAGGTGCGAGACGATGACGATGTGCGTAACATGTTCCGCACTCATGAGTATTCCAGCTTCTCAGATGTCATGTTACATGTTACGTTACAACAACAACAACTGTCTCAACAACTTGATTCTTCTCAAGTTTTTTGCGATTTTGACGAGGAACACGTTGAAGTCAATGTCATTGATGATGAAGAAGAAGCAACTGAAGTCACTGTTAACGAGATGGTGAACAACCAGGAGGATAAGGTTCCACCCGACCATGTTTATTGTCCACCTCAGCACATGAAAACTCTCGACTTAGGTGGCGATGAACCCTCAACGAATATTTTCTATAACCCTAACTACGCAACAGAAGGGCAACTAAAAGAGGGTGACGAGTTTCGTACCAAAGAAGTTTATGTTCGGGCAATCAAACAATTTCATATGGAGTTGTCAGCCGATTATAGAGTCGATTGGACAAATCCGACGCGGTATAAGATCTATTATCGTAACGAGGAGTTCCCGTTCCGATTAACATCGTCTTTTAGGAAGAGAAGCGATTCCTGGAAGATATGGTCAATGGGTCCGGACTGCACGTGTATAATCTCGAATCTGATGCAGGACCATCACAAACTCAGCTCTCGATTGATTTGCGATGAGATTTTGTTAGTCGTTAGCAACAACCTGTCTTTGAAAGTGAGTACCATAATTGCACATATGATTCAAAGGTACAATTACACTCCTTCATACCGGAAATCCTGGATTGTTAGGACTAAAGCGGTTGAAAGGGTGTTTGGAAATTGGGAGGAGTCGTACAAGAAACTTCCAAAATTCCTGGTGGCTCTTAAACACTACTCTCCAGGGACTATTGCGATATTGGAGACAATGCCTGTGTGTACACCAGACGAGACTTGCGTTGGTGGAAATGGAATTTTTCACAGTCTCTTTTGGGCGTTTGAACCATGCATCAAAGAGTTTGCATATTGTAAACCTATAACTCAAATCGACGAAACTTGGTTATACGGGAAATATAAGGGCACACTGCTCATGACTGTGGCACAGGACGGGAACAACAACAGTTTTCCAATAGCCTTTGCTATAGTAGAATGGGAGACTGCTGGGGGTTGGAGTTTTTTCTTAAAAAATCTCCGCTTTTACGTGTCTCCCCAACCTAACTTATGTTTGATCTCTAATCGACACCCATCAATCGAGAGTGCATACAACAACCTTGATAATGGTTGGCAGGATCCTCCCTCGACCCACGTCTATTGCATAAGGCATATCACCCAAAATTTCATGCGGGAAATCAAAGATAAGACGCTACGGAAGAAGGTTGTGAACGCATGACATGCACTAATAAAACCCACATTCAAATACTATCGTGACCAGATCAGACTAACAAACGCGAATGCATTAAGATGGATTGATAACATTGATAGGGAGAAATGGACGCGGGCATACGATAATGGGGTGCGATGGGGCCACATGACAACTAACCTCGTCGAATCAATGAATTATGTTTTCAAGTGAATCCGAAACCTCCCGATAACTGCCTTGGTAAAGGCAACATATTTTAGGCTAGGATCACTTTTTGATAGCAGACGTATGAAGTGGGGTTCAGTATTACAATCGGGTCAGTTGTATAGTGATACTTCAATGAAATTCATGAAAGACGAAGCTGCCACAACCAACACACACGTCGTCACAATCTTTGACCATACAGTTGGTTGGTTCAGTGTTACCGAGTCGATTGATCACAATGAAGGAAGGCCTAGGGGATGTTACCGTGTTGAACTGGATAAGAGCTGATGTGATTGTGGGAAGTTTCAGGCATTCAGTATGCCTTGCTCTCATGTTATAACAACATGTTCGAAGGCGCGCCAGGACCCAACCAACCTTCTTTCTGCAGTTCACCAAGTGATAAGTATATGCAATGTCTACACATGTAGCTTTCAGGTGGTGGCAAAGGAGGACTATTGGCCTCAATACGAAGGCGAAATTGTCTGGCATAATGACTTGATGCGCAGAAAGAAAAATGGTCGGCCTAACAACACGCGCATTCGAATGGAGATGGATACCGCAGACAAGCTGGTAAGATTATGTAGTTCGTGTCGGCAACCAAGACACAATCGTACAAAATATCCTAACGTAGGATCAAGCAGCAGATCATAGTTTCATATGTAACCGTGTCCCTTTAAATCAATAGCAAATTTCATTTGATTAAAAGCATACTTAACTGACATAACAACAACATAAAGACAGAACACTGCACCAAGGCAACATAAATTAAACAAACATAACAATAACATAAAGACATAAAACAGAATACTGCACCAAGGCGTCTACAATATCACGACCATCAACATTATCTTATTTGGTGTTAACATCATCACAAGGACACCAACATCATTTATGCTCCAACGTCTGCGTATTCCATAGGAGCACCTTCATCAGAGGCTTTGTTGCTGAAAAGATAACTACGACATTTATTTTCATTAGATCGAATGTTGGAAAGGATTCCTCCGATGCTGATTACGAAGATGACGAAGAACATTGATTTAGAAATACAGACATTCTAGTCTCCACTCCACTCAAAATGCACTAACGCTTCAGTCTTTTGGTATACAATGTTGGGAAAACATATATGTGTTTGCAGTCGTATTTATAGAAAAATAAAATAGTACGTGCCCCATATGATATGTCTTAAATACCCTTACAAAATTTATACATTTTAAAATTCAATGGTTAATCAATTTTTATGTTTTAAAATTTATAATTTAAATCAATTTATATGCTTTAAAATTAAATTGTTAATCAATTTTTATTTTGTATTTAAATTAATTTATAATTAAAATTTTAAAAATATTTATAATTTAAAAACAATAATTATTACTTATTTTATAATTATTACTTAAAAACAACAAATTATAATCACAATTATATTTATATTAAACCTAAATGTATAAAAACAATATTTATTAAACCTAAATTTATAAAATCAATTTAAGTTTATTTTTAATTAAACCTAAATTTATTAAATTAATTTAAAATTATTTTTATTTAAACCTAATTATTTTAAGTTTATTAATTAAAAACTTAATTTTAACATTATATGAAAAAATAAAAAATATTAATAATAATTATGTTCATTAATTAAAAACTTTATTTTAAATAATAAGAATAATTATGTTATAATTATGTGTTAAAATTATAAATTAAAACATTAATTAAAAATAGCAAAAAAAAACCCTAGTTCTTGAACTAAGTCGCCAATCAGTATGACGATTGCATTGCAAGCCCAACGATGTCGCTAAATCGTTTGACGATTCCATGCAAGCCCAAATTCGTTTTCAACAATGTCGCCATTTTATCCGACGACAGAAGGTTGAATCTTGGCCATTTTAAAATTTTTTTTTGAAACTTTTGTTTTTATGATAAATAAGAAACAATAGTTGGTTATTATAAAAAAAAAATTCAGCAATTCATTCAAAATTTAAATATATTTTTAAAAAATTAATATAAAAGTGGTATGATATATTATAATATATATTTTTTAATCTTAAAATATTTTTAGTCTAGTTTCGTAAAATTTGGCACGAAAACAATCGTATCCATCTTCTGAGTCATAATTCCTGAGAGCATCTTTAATGAGAGCAACTAAATTGGATGAACTAAGTTATTTTACGTGGGTCCAAATTGACAAGAATGATTTAAACAATCCAAAATTGAATTAAGAAGTTTTTCCTTTAATGATGATTATTTATAAGGAATTCAAACTTGATATTAAATGGTTAATAAAAACCTATTATTTATGTTAAATAATTAATAAAAATCTATTATTTATGTTAAATAATGAGTTAGAGTACGTTACTTGTATAAAGCACGTAAACTAGTTTTAGAGCATCTCATATGCCATGTCAGCTCTACTATAATGCAAATTCCTTATTACTAAGAACATCTTTAATGTGAGCAACTAAATTGGATGAACAAAATTATTTTACGTGGTCCAAATTGACATAAAAGATTTAAGCAATTCAAAATTGAATTAAAAAGTTTTTACTTCAATGATGATTGTTTATAAGAAATTCAAACTTGTATTAAATGGTTAAAAAAAATCTATTATTTGAGTTAAATAATTAATAAAAATCTATTATTTATGTTAAATAATGAGTTAGAATACGTTGCTTGTATAGAACACGTAAGCTAGTTTTAGAGCATTCCATATGCCATGTCAGCTCTACTCTAATGCAAATTCCTTATTACTAACATAAGCTTTAAAATATTTTGTTTTAATAACTATGCGCTAAAGTTGCTCTAACGTCAGCTATACAAAAATTTTCGTTGTAATTATGCGTTAAAGTTGCTCTAACGTCAGCTATACAAAAATTTTCGTTGTAATTATGCGTTAAAGTTGCTCTGAGTCATAATTGCAATTTATGAATACTGATCAATGAAGCAAACAGGTAAACCACGATTTCATAACCACTACCAGATTTTTACGTCTTCTTCTTAACCTAGCGAAACATGCTTAGGTTTGACCTTTTCATCTTCTATAAACCTATCTACGAAACCGTTTCATCCTCCTTCGTATGGTGATTTTCCATTTCTTCGTCATTTCGACATTACGGAGCTTGGATTTAACAAACGCTCATTCAATTATCAGGTAGTAGCTTAGTTGCGTTAAGAATTTTAGTTATAGTATGATAATATCAGTGATATTTATCAGAATAAGGTTGTTTATGGAAGCACTATGTGAGTTTTGTGAGATTGTTAGAGCTGTGGTTTACTGCAAGCCAGATTCTGCTCGATTATGTCTGCGTTGTGATGCGATTGTACACTCCGCGAATGCGCTTGCTCGCAGACATCCGAGATCGTTATTGTGTGATAGGTGTAATTTCGATTCAGCGATTGTTCGTTGTGTTGATTATAAACTGTCTCTGTGTCAACTTTGTGATTGGAATTCTACAGATGAGTGTTTTGTGTTGGGGCATAACCATGTGCCACTTAGTTTCTACACTGGTTGTCCCTCTTTGACAGAGTTGTCAAAGATTTGGCCGCTGGATGGAAATTCATCTGTTGAGAGCAGTGTTGCTGGCTCTCAGCCTTTGGATTGGCCGCCTGAAAAGAATGGCGACTTCTTTGGTTTGGAGAGAGCGAAAAAGAAACACAAGATGGATGGAGAAGAGCCGTCTGTCAAATACGAACAACCTTGGATTGAGACACCGCCTATGGTTTCGTCGGTTTCGTCAAATTCAACACAATACTGCAGAGATCAAGCGTTTTTGTTTGATCTAGACTCAAACCTACAGAAGGTATTTATTTCATTCTGCTCTTTGGTTTTGGTTGGCTGATATATATATATATATATATATATATATATATATATATATATATATATATATATATATATATATATATATATATATATATATATATATATATATATATATATATATATATATATATATATATATATATATATATATATATATATATATATATATATATATGTATTATGTTAAGTTTTAAAGCTTTTTTTAGGTCTAGAATCCGAGCCGGGTGGGTGCATATAAGGCGGCAAAACCATTCCAGTGTGACTAAGATCTAGGCCCAATGGATTCTAATGAATACTTCAAACCTGAGGTTGAGAGGGGATCATTCTCACCCGAAAAAACCGCTTCTCACCTTCCCGTGTGAGCTAGGTCTAACACCACAACAATCTTTAAAACCACTGACAACCCTATAACATAAAGAGTGATACTTTTAGCAAGTACAGGTTATATTTTTGATTTCGGTGCATTATGATATGTGTTATGTATATAGATGAGTAAAAGATTGATGAATGATCTAAGCTGAGTGTAATTATTGATGAGCGATTTATGGGTTGATGATGATATTATTAGTTTAATAACTAAATGCTAATTGTTGTGCCGAACAAAAGCTAATATACCAGTCTTTTTCTCTTCATATTTTCTTAACTCGTCAGCTTCAAGGATGCCCTGATGTCAAGGAACTAGTTTTTCATGAGGGGACTAGTCTCTGTGAAGGTTTCAATATGGATGATGTTCAATTAGACTTCGCTGATGAAATATTTGGCTGCTCTCTAAGCTCTCTAAGTGCCGCAAAATACAACCATGAAAATGGAGGAATAGAGTGTCTATTAATGGATAAAAACATTCCAGTTACAAAATGTACCAGTCTTACCGAGATTGCAACAGAGGTGACAGTTTTAACACCTTTTTTAGAATTTAATTTTTAAAGAATATTAATACAAAAAGTTTTACACTGTCTGCGAATCATAGCCTATCATATTTGTTTTATAATCTAACGGTTATAATTGATCAATGGTGTAAAAAATCTTTACATTGACATTTTATATGAATTAATTTAAAAAAAAAAATCATTCTCCTCTCTAAATGTTTACTAGTGATGTATGAAACTAATTGTCATCCATGTGATTGTTTTATTAGGCTTTATCACCAGCGCAACAAGATTGTGTGGTTTTTCCATTATCAGAGGCTGGCGGATCAACAAGTATGATGCAGGGCATCAACAATAATGCAAACTGTGCACTTATGACTCCTAGCTGCAACAGTAGCATTACTATGGGATTTCCTCAGACTCAAATTCATTTAGGAACTTCAATTGAATTACCTAATCTTAATGGTGAAAACAATGTTACTGAACTTCTAAATTGTGGGTTACCTCCAGTGTTTCATCCCGGCGAATCCCCTTGGGAACCAAATTCGGAGGGTTCGTGTGCAGAAGCAAGGGAACAGGCCTTAATGAGATACCAAGAGAAAAAGAAAACTCGAACGTAAGTACTTTTAACTGTGTGTATATATAGACACTCACTGTTAATGCGTGTTCGTGTAAGAGTCCGTGCTTCCTAGCTAATACATCATTTTTCTGGGTTCTTATGTGCAGGTTTGGTAAGCAAATAAGATATGCCTCTCGCAAAGCAAGGGCTGATACAAGAAAACGTGTGAAAGGTCGATTTGTTAAAGCAGGTGAAGCATACGATTATGATCCTCTTTTGAGCGACTAAATGTTATCAACAATCACAATATTTTTCTTGCAGGAAATTGACTGGTAAGCTTAGGTAGTCCATGGACATTGTGATAACATTGTTTTGTTGTCCATTCTTAGGCAACAGTTTTTTTTTATACAAAATTTAGAAAACTAGATCAAATTTTAATGCAGATATATAATTACTCTAAACTTGACTACTTAATTAGGTGGTTGGTATAGAGAAGTTAGTATTTAGAATTTTTAGATGAAAATATAGATATGAAGGCAAAAGAATACAAAGATATTACATTTAGTTGTATCTAGTAAGTGAAAGAAGCACTGCATTTTTCTCAAATATAAGAAAAAAAAAAAAACATATTTGATGAACCAAAATATAAGTAAAATCTAACTTATTTGACCATATTTAATGCTATTATTCGCTAAATAGCCTTCAATAGAACAAGGTTTTCTTGCACAATTACGATGAAAAGAAAATGTAGTTTGGACAATGCAATTATTTTCTTGATTACATCAAGAAAATTAAATGTGGTTAACTACTATTCTTAGTATTTGTGTAGTTAGTTATTTTTCTTATAATTTAGATTGGAGGTAGTAACATGCATGAGATAGAGGAGCAGGATGACTGTACAGATTGATGTTGCATCACAGCTAGTATCATTTCCAACAAAAATATGAAAGTTAAGATAAACACTTTTTTTTAATCATATTATGTTTAAAAAAACTGTAAAAGGATTAAATCTATGTTATTAAACTCGTCCGTTTCAGCCGTTATCTCGGCAGGGAACAATAAAACCAACAAAACCGCGTCAGGCTGTTCCCTTTTGCTACAGATGAGTGACTCCGTTGTAACGACCACAATAATGGGATTAGATTTGGAACGACTCCGCTCAGACACGGCTGCTCCGACCGCGTCAGCCGAATATGATATTACTCTTAATTTTTTAAGTACCGGAAAGTTATTTTATTGAATTTTATTGGCATTTGCAAGTATATTTTGCTTAAGACTTATGACTTCTATTTCTAAATATGAACATTTCATGAATTTTGATTAATTAATTTTAGTTTTTAATAATCATGTGTTCGTTAGTATTAAATGTATCAGTGTCCGCGTCACTAAAATATTGTCCGTCTTGCTCCTCGCTCCCGTTCTGTTCCATTTATGGAGATGGTCTAGTCAAGCCGCTACCAGAGATTGATAACATAGAATTGAATACCATTTTCTCTAGACTACCACCACACATAACCTTATTCAGAGTGATATCCAAGTGATGGTAAAAAATTTAACTGAGCGGCCAAATTCTAATTTGCTCACCATTTGCTTCTGCTATCTAATAAATAAGATAAAAATTGTTTTACTGCATAAAAAAAAGTTGGACTTACATACTCTTTCTTGCTTGCAGAAGAGACAGGAGTCAACGGCGAGCCATCCTGAACTTTAACAGGTTAGAATGCGTGACTCTTTGAGTTTTTGTTTTTCTAATAAACACAGGGTATTAAGGAAGAAAAGGGGAACTGGTGTTTGGCATCAAAGTATTATCCAAGAACAGCAGTCCTTACTTTGGATTAGCGAGCAGTGTCAGACGCGGATGGAGATACTGTTGTTCTAAACCACTTTACACCTGCAGCAACTGTATGCATATTCCACAACCTTAAACTACCTCAATCATTTCATCTATTGGACTGCATCATTTTAGGCTTAGGGTGTTATTTGTGATCGGCCAAACATTGATTCATTTAGATTTTGGTTTATTGTAATGGTTTTTATATTTAGAATATTTGCGTATTTTTTTTTATTGTTATTATTCTCCTTAGTTTAAGGAAATAATTAGGTTGTAATATCCCTAACAATACCAGCTAATGCTGACAAATAAAATTACAACTACTTTTACCAATTTTTTTTTAATATAGTATCAGTAGCTTTAGGTTTTCAATCTAGGGTTTGAAAGTAAGCGTTCTATCTGCTGCACAACCTTCTTGGCGGCAACCAAAATCAACGGATGCAGACCCTCGCAGGTTTGACTGATGATGATGAAGACTTCTCTACCATTAGGTAACCCAGGCATCGACAGTAGAGGGGGACACGGAGGCGGTGGTTGAGGAAACGAAGGCAACCACGACACAGTCCAAAACAACATTGATAGCGACTTCAATACTTGTTTCAACGATCAAGAGGGTTCTATAAACTCTTAAAATTAATATTCCCAAAATGAATGGAGAAAACTAGAATCATTGGGCTACAATAAAACTGATACATTGGTGATAGAAGATGAGATTTATAGGAAAGAGAGAGAGTTTGTTAGACAGAAAATGATTTCTATTATACACTTCACAATTGTTACAACTGTTAATATAGTTGGATAACACAACTAACTCATAACAGAATTCTGTTATGAATTCTGTTATGATGAGAGAGAAAGCTTAATGTTAATCTATCTCTAATATTCCTCCCTCAAGTTCAAGGTGGTTGATTAATTGACAACTTATCAACTACTCTTAACTTGCTTCTGAGTTCAAGAAACCGAGCAGTGGGGTAGGGGCGTAGTAAGGATGTCAGCCCACTGACTCTGAGCTGGAACATGAGAAACAGTGAGGCTTTTGCTGATCACATTTTCTCTGACAAAAAACATGTCTAACTCCATGTGCTTTGTCCTTGCATGAAGCATTGGGTTATGGGATAGTGCTACTGCACTTAAATTGTCACAGAGAATTCGTGGCACTTGATGCTTGACCTTAAGTTCAATTAGAAGAGTTTGGAGCCACAAAATTTCAGCAGTGGCATGTGTTAAAATCCTGTATTCTGCCTTAACACTGAACCTGACAACCAGTGTTTGTTTCTTGGCCCACCAGGAAACTAAGTTAGGCCCAAAAAAGATGCAGACACCAGATGTAGACCTTCTGTCATCTGGGTCAGAGGTCCAGTCGGCATCACAAAATTCAGTGATGGTGATGGGGCTGTAGAAGAGGCAAGGAGACCATGCTGCAGGGTCCCTTGCAAATACCTTAGAATTTGTTTGACAGCTTTCCAGTGGTCTTCAAGATGATTTGAGAGACACTGGCAGACTTTATATACAGCAAAGGAAATCTCTAGTCTGGTTATGGTTGCATATTGCAACCTGGGGCCTGTTTAAGGCCATATAAAGCTTTGTTTAACCTACATATAAGTTTAGGATCAGACTTTTCAAATCCTACATGCTGGACCATGTACACCTCCTCATTAAAAATGCCATTAAGGAAATCAATGTTGATGTCAAGCTGTTGAATATGCGAACCATGAGAGATAGATAGCAAGAGTAACAAGAGTTCTCACAGTTATAGGTTTCACAACTGGTGAGTGGTGAGAATGTTTCAGTGAAGTCAAACCCCTCTATTTGATGGAAACCTTTAGCTACCAATCTGGCCTTATATTTGTTGACAGTACCATCAACATTTTCTTTAACTCTAAACACCCATTTGCATTTAATGGGTTGTCTACGAGCAGGTGGAGGAACAAGAGTCCAGGTCTTGTTCTTGAGAAGGGCGTTATATTCTGCCTGCGTAGCTGCAGACCGCTCAGGAATACCCAAGGTCTGTCTATAAGATGTTGGTTCAACATGAGTGAGTAGCAGGGTGGGTTGGAGTCTGGGTTGGACTATGCCATTTTTTGCTCTGGTTTGCATAGGACGAGTGTTATGGGGATGAATTCTGGGAGCAGGTAAGAGAGCGAGTGTAGGTGAGACATTAGATGAGCTTGTTGAAGCTGACACATCTGGTGAACTAGGCACATAACTAAAAGGCTACGCCTCGGGCCATAAAAAAGTCTTCTAAGTCTATCAGGCCGGCCTATTTAAATAAATATGAATACTTTTTTTGTTATCATTATGTTATGTTTTGTACTTTGAATTAAAATACATAAATAAAATTTAGTTATCTTAGAGAACTTATGAAAGTAAGATGAAAACACCTTATGAACAACGTCATAAATTCTTTTCATAAGTTTTCTTAAACAAACAGTCTCACAAAACTTATGCTAATAGGTAAGTTAAAATAAGTCAATGGAAAAAAAAACTTTTAGTCTCATTAGTCTTTTAGTTTGTTAGTCTATTTAAACATTATTTGAATTGTTTATTTACGTATGTGTAAAATAAATAAGATTTTATTTAGGCTAACAGGCTAACTAGGCCTTGGAAAAGGACAGACTCAGGCCTAAAATTAAGTCTATGACAGGCTACAGGACAAACTTAGATTTTGATTTTTTTGGTAGGGCAGACTTAGCCTTGGCAAAGCCTAACTCGGCTTAGCCTATTTCTACCTCTAGTTGTAAGTGATTTTCTCAAAATGGTGCAAAATCAGTTTCAAAATGCCATTGAAGATTTTAGAAGCTATAATGGCAAAAAAAAAAATATTTAAACACTAATTTGAGTGATTTTTCCACCAAAACAGAATTGTATATTCGAGTTCATGTCCTAATACTCCCCAACAAATGGAGTGACAGAGAGCAAAATAGACATCTTTGAAAGTAGTTTGAGTCTTACTTTTCACAAAGTACCTAACTATATGTGGGGTGAAGGAGTAATATGCTTCATATTTAACTAATAAAATGTCATCCAAAGCTCTAAAATTTCAAACTCCAATTCATAATTTCGAAGAGTGTTTTTTGAATTAATGCATTTTCACTAATTTAAGCTTATTGGTTGCACAGCTTTTTTTCACAAACACAAAAATGTTGGAAAACTTGAACTTCACGCTATAAAATGTGTTTTTGTTGGATACTCTCCAACTCAAAAGGGATATAAATATTTTGATCCTAAAATCAACTAAAAAAATATTTTTCACAATAGATCATAGATGTGATATTCTTTGAAAACAAATCTTTAATTTTTATTTTTTATGACAATCTTCTTCAGGGGTGAATTTAAAGGAAGATTTTGTTTTCAAAATGAGGACATAAACTTTTTTCAATCTTCTTTGCCTATATCACAAACTTCTAAAAAATGATACTTTTGCATCAACAAAAATGATCATATTTCACTACCTGAACTTACTCCTGACATGAGTAAGAAACATGGTGAATACGCCTACATTTCCTTACCTAAATTATGATGAACTAATTGAAATGTCACTAAATGATGAGTCGTGCGAAGAGGATAGGCTGGAAGTGGGAAACAATATTTGAAAAGGAAATGTCTATGTGAGAAAGAATCATAAAAGAGGTGATGAGTTCACATCACAACAGTGTCATGAATCTCAATCGAGGGATGATCAAACCTCCTAAGAAAAAGGAAGGTAAGTCTATTTTCTATGTCTGAGAGTCATATTATGTATCCTGATATTGATGACCCCATAGTTGTTAGAAAACTTGTCATGTCTTGTACTCAACATCTTATATCTATTTTTATTTCATACTCAAATTTGCCTCCATTTATTTGTGCCTTCACTTCACTATTATCTAGTGTAAAAATTCCAAAAAATATACAGGATGGTCTAGAAGTTCCGAAATGAAGAGAAGTTGTACTTAAGTAGATGAAAGCTCTTGAAAAGAACAAAATTTGGAGTGTCATAACTCTTCCAGATAGTAAGAGAAATGTGAGATACAAATGAGTGTTTACTATGAAATATAATTCAGATGGGTCAACTGGAAGTTATAAAGTTCAATTGGTTGCTAAGGGCTCAAACCCATGGCATAGAATACTCAGAATTGTTTCAAAATTGAACACTATCGGAATACTCCTATCGCTTGTTGCGAATTTGAATAGGACTTTACATCAGTTGGATGTTAAAAATGCATTTCTTAATGGTGATCTAGATGAAGAGGTGCATATGAATGTTTCTTTTGGATTTGAAGACAAATTTGGCTCAAATGTGTGCAAGTTAGAAAAGCTCTTGCATGGATTAAAACAGTCTCCCAAAGTTTGATTTGAAAAATTCACTCGGTCCATGAAAAAGCAGGGGTATACTCAAGGCCAAGGGGATCACACCTTGTTCACGAAGTTCTTTCATGGTGGAAGAATCTCTATACTAATGTGTATATTGATGATATTATCCTTACCAGAGATGATATAGTTGAAATGACGAGTAAAGGAAACTGGTTGATGACTTTGAAATTAAGGACTTGGGATACTTTAGATACTTTCTAAGTAAGGAGGTTGCGAGATCGAAGAAGGGAATTGTAGTGTCACAACAAAAATATATCCTAGATCTTTTGGAAAAAACATGAACTAGCGGTTGTCAATCAGCTAATACTCCCATGGATCTTAATTCAAAACTTTGGGAAAAAGGGGATGTTCCTGTCAACACCGAAAGATATCAAAGATTGGTTGATAAACTTATTTATCTATGATATATAAGACCTGACATTGCCTTCTCAGTAAGTGTAGTAAGTTAGTTTATGCGTTCTTCTTTGGAGGAACATCTTGAAGCAATTTACTAGAAAAAGGGGGTCTCTATGTTCACTGA